AATGGACCTGCAGCATCGAATGTCAAACTCTCTAAAACTAAACTATAAGTTTTCAACTTGCTACCAAATACATTTTCATCTCATTTAGCACCTTAAATTTTGCTAAGCACATTCACCGAAAAATTCAAAACCAGAGTCCAGACAGATAAAACTTGAAAAGTAATGAAAATTTCGAATGGGAATTACTAACCGGACAAGAGGGTTCCTGACTCGCTTCTTCTGCTCCAACAATTCTTCCAAACTGGGTTCCACTGTGCCCTTCTTCTTCTTCTTCTGATGTATATCTCCTCTTCTTTATGACAAATTTTTTTTTTTGTGATTTTAATTAAAATTATTAATATTGAACAACTCTGCCTCAATTTTATTACTAATATGATGTATGAATAAAAATTTTAATTTAATGTTACTTTTAAATTAAAATATTAATCAAAATATAAAAATTTAGAAATATCCACACAAAAAAAATGATCTACATTACATTAACCTTTAAAAATATAGGGGCTATTTTATTTTTTAAAAGATTTAGAGTACTTTTCGATAATTTTTCAAAAGTTGCCCCCTGGTACTCCTTTGTACCCCTCCCTCCCCCACTAAGATCTCCAATCACCAATCCCCCTTCTTCCCGAATGGCTAAGGACAAAAGCATCCTCATTTCTCTATACCAAATAAATCCATCACCCACCTACTTGCCATCACTCTTGTTGCCCGACCCAAGCACAGAATTCTCATAAAAAAGGAATAAAGCACTGAAACGAAAAGCCAACACCGCTGACTATCGGTGCCCATACTCTCACCGTACCAAGAGAAAGCCATTGTAGCCATCACTAGCTTATTGTGAGGCCAGATTCAATCAAGTTAATTTTAAATAATAAAGACAAATTTGTGTCAAGGAGACAGATTAGAAACGACGTATAAATATGATTAATGTATAACTCCACTGACAAGTAGAGATTAGAATCGATAACTATTATGGTAAAAAAAAAAAAACACATTTTTATCAGCCTGCCTTTAAAACGGGAGTGATTAAAACAAAAGCAGTAAACCTTTCATATTCATTATAAAGTAAAATTTTTTCTCTTCTGATTTTTTAGTAAGTTTGCATACACTTTAAGATTAATTCATTTCAATTCTAATAAAAAATAAGTTATTCACACCAAAATTATGAAATTCATGAAGAATTACATTTTCATTAGTCTCTTAAGAAATCGAATTTTAATAAACAAAGTGAGGAGTAAACCCCCACGCTAACTAACAAGAGTTCAACAATAAATTCGAGTTAGAAACATTAATTTTGAGCAAAGTTGGCCATGTTTTGGTTCAAACAAAATTCAATTTTTTTGGTTGGTTAAATAATTATTTGATTTTTCAATTTTAAACCAAATTAATCCTAAACAAGATTTAGGCTGCATTTGGGATTGCGATTGAGAGCTTTTTCATATAGCCACACAACACTTTTAGATATATGTGTGTTTGGTAATTTTTTTCAAACTGCTTTTTCAAAAAGTTATAGACAATCACAACAGATCTACAATCATTTTATGTATAAAGCCAAGAGCCTCATTTTAAAGTTTTTTTGGCTGCGGCTTTTATGGAGAATACTTAATATTTTAATATAATTATAAAATTACCTATTAAAACTCAATTTCATATAATTTAATTACATTATAATTTATAATATTTTAATAATTAAAAATTTTTAAAGCCTAAATTATTAAAAAAATAATAAATATTATATATTTTAATAATTATATATCTTACAATATTTTTAAAATTTTAATTAATAATTAATAAAATTTATCATATTTTATCTATAATACTTTTAAAAATAAATAACCAAACACCAAAATAATTTTCAGCACAATTACAGTACAGCCACAGTTAAGCACAGACACAGCTACAGTCATAGTATTTCACAGCAATGCCAAACATACCCTTAGTTTTAGCTATAGTTTTTATCTTAAAACCAAATTACCCAGAAAATTCATCAAATTGGTCAACATGTCCTTGCCCATTCACACCTTAAATTCACATCAATTGTTTTAGACTTGGTTTGGGAGTACAATACTATACTAGAGGGACAAATGTAATATAAATTGGACAATGATTGATACATTCTCTGATTCAATATACTACACAACATATTCCAGTTCAACCCTTAAAATTTGTCTTTGGAAATTTTCCCCTCATAAATTCAAATTTGAAAATAATAATTTCTTAATAAGTATATTGTAGAGTGTGTTGAACCGAAAAATGTACCAATTATTTTTTAAATTGGATATATAATATAAATTATATGATATAAATAACATACAAATAAATTTAATAAGCATTATATTTACTTCTTTTATTATAAATTTGTCACAAATTAATTAGTATTTTTTAATTTCAAAATAGACAAATATTTTTCTTTTCTTTAAGCCTATTTTTTTGCTTAAGTTTTATTCTTCATCATATTTGTAGGTATATTCTATAATCTATAGTATAAACCATAGGTCTCCTTTTGACTACAATGAGAAAGGATTGGTCGTCAGGTTTTGACTATTAAACAAAGAAAGAAAAAAATCAAAGATGATAAATATGGGTTTGGTGTAGCTTAGATCAACTATATATAAAACTACTCAACAAGTTAGGGATCTAAATAATTCAGTGATCATCTCTTTTTATTAAAAGTAAGAGGTTTGAATTCGAATCACATGACATTCGGATAAAATAGGATAAGAGATAATAAATTATTATTTCTCATTGTGTAACCAAAATAAAAAAATAATAATAAAATAAAATTACATAACAATAAAAGAGATCAAGCTAATTAAATGCCCTTAACAAAGAACTCAAAACATGGTAAACAAAATAAAGTGTAGAAAAGTGCATCTCATTAAGATAATTGATCAAATACTTTGTGTGTATAACTAAGAGAAATTCTACTTATTGATAAAAAAAAAATGAAATTCTACTCCAACAGTCAATATCGAAAAATTCAAAATATTCGAAATTTCCCAATTATGGCTCTACTACCAAATATTAAATTATTATCTAAATACAAGCACATTCTAAAACTACCATAAAAACGTTATTATTCTTTTGACAAAATAAATATAAAAACTACTAAAAGTAAAATATATCATGCATATTAATTTTTTTCCAAAATCTTAGGGGGCCATGGCCCCTCTTGGTCCTAACAATGCCCCATCCATGCTATAATAGATCGCAGCTGTGGTGGTACGTAGGATTTTTTATTTTTTACTATCGTAAAATATATAAAGAGTTAGGTAACTCATAATTAAGAATAACAAATAATTTTTAAATAAAGTTCTGTGCGAGAAAAAATTTATGTAAAATATTTCTAAATAAAATTTTAAAAAATAATAAATATAATCAACTCAAGTAAAAAATTAAAGATTAGTGGACATTAACATGTATTATAAAAAAATTAGGTAATAAATATCTTAAAATTATATTATTTTAATAAAATATTATTAGAAAAAACTAAATTAACCTCATTCTTGCTTTAATTATTAGGATATTTTAACCTCTTTTAATGAAAATTTATTAAAATAATGTAATTTTAAGGCATTTTTTACTTTATTTTTTGTAATACAAGCTAATTTTCTCTTTTTTAACACATTTACCAACATTCATTAGTTTAATTATTAAAATCTTTACTTAACAAATTTTTTATTTTAAATTTAAATTTTAAAAAATAAATTTTTAATAAATATATTATGAAGTGTATTGATCCGAATATCTACTAATTATAATCTATTTAAATAACCTCTTAACCTATTAACAACTTTTGTTAAGGCATACCAATTGAATGAAACCTTCACGGAGGAGAACAGTGGAAAGAGAGGATGAGAGTTTAAATCCTAATCATACAGGTAAAAAAATATCTTTACCTCAATAAATTAATAAATTACTCCATCGGCCTTCAACCTGCATACAAACTTCCTTTCACATGTATGATGTATTAACGGAATAATTCAACAAATTAGTCCGCAAGTCCTCGTCCCCACTCACAGCTTAAAGTCACTTTAATTGCTTTAGAAGATAATAAATTCCAAACCGAACGTGACTTATCAACCAAGCTTTTGAGGATAATAAATTTCAAATCCACCGTGATCATTCATTCCAATACTCATTTTCCCATAATTTACTAACGAAATACCAATGCAATTGAACTACCCAACCAGAATTTCCTTTTTTTTTTTTTTGTTTTTCTAGCCAATGTCCTAATAACACAAAATTTATTATACTTTTTAAAGTTTTATTATTAATTTATATAAAAAATTATAAAAATAAATTCTACTTTTAATAGAACTTAATTAAAATAATATAATTTTAAAATTTTTTTTTACTTAATTTTTTTACAATACAGGTTGATATTTACATTTTCACAAAAATTAATTAATTTAAACTAATCAATAGTCAATCTAACAAGTCTATTTAAGTAGGAAAATAATTACTACACTTTCTAATTCAATACACTTATTAATAATTATTAGTTTAGTCATTAAAATATATAATTGAGAGTTTTTTATTTTAAATTTAAATTTAAAAAATAATTTTTTAATAAATATACTATAAAAT